CAAGCAGTTTTCCTTTTTCAATCATAATAATGCAGACTGTTCTCTCCAGGTGGCCATGTTCAGAGTCAGTAACAGGTTCACACTGAATGATTTTGGTCAAATTTTGACCTTGGCCAGCTGTTGCTGTTCTGTCAGCTGCTTCAGCTAGTGCCGCCAAAATTGACGGTCTGTCTTTGATCCAGGCATTAACGAACTGCTTTATCACTATGCAAAAATAAGGTCATTTTTGAAGGAGAGAGAGGCAGTGTCTGTCATAAGGTTTTCTTGATTAACACCTGAAAGACTGTGGGTTTTGAGGCTGTCTGTAAGTGAATAACTAGGTTGTCTTTGCTAAAGTGCAAGTCATATGAGCTCACATGTACGGGCAGGTCTTGCCAAGAACCTAGGGACAGCTTTGTTGAGTTGATTTTTCTGTTTTTTTTTGTTTGTTTGTTTTTGTCAGGATGTGGATTATTTGTGAACTCTTTCAGTCCATATCAAAAGAGCTGTTAAGCTGGATGAAGAGTTGTATCTCCTGCTGTAATTGTGATTAGGCAATGGAAGTGGAGAACTATTTGATGGCTGAAGCGAATGCTGAGCTGCTCACATGTCTGACTCCGTTCTGTCAGCAATGTCAATTAGTACTTCAAGAGGTTAATATTTCAGAAGAGCAGCTTTGTGAGTCATATGGTCTCATTTGATAGATAATTGTTATAGTCTGCTGATTTCTTCATGTGATCTAAGATGAAATCATGAGGTATGAGCGAACACTGAAATTTTCTATTATATTTTCTTATTATATGAAATTCTGGTAATACAGCAAGCTCTCTGAGCCGCCAGTGAGAAATGAAACCATCGTCCTGTCTTTTCTTTCTGCTGTGAACTCTTCTGAGCAATGACATCGCTGTCACTGAGCACTGCCTTTCCGCAGCCCGCGGTGCCCTTCCCAGAGCACAGCCCAACAGTTCTGTACTTGGCCTGACGTGGGAGGTGATGGGGCGGTGGTGTTTCACGGCACTCTGCTGAGGCTGGAACAGAGTCTAGGCAGGAAACTGAATTTTGAAATAATTTGGTTATTTCCTTTTCATTCTGAATTCAAGGCGGTCCTGTCTGTGTGCCTTGTGTTCACTCTGAGCCCTTCCTAAGCTTGTTCAGAGACAGCACAGCTGCATGAACGCCCAGCTGTTGGTGGATGGCCGCTGCTGACTGAATGGTAGCAGTATTTACCTGAAGTTTGTTCACTGTCTTTCCTTGAGTCAGTTATACTGTTATCATCCCTATCAGTAGTTCAGGTGGTTTGAAATTTATATTGAAATGTGATGGAAGGTAATATATTTGGTGGCCATCATCAGGCACAATTTCAGTAAAGCTCACTTGATTCTTGCTGTAAGTTGTATTGTGTTATAAATTTCAGTGCCATTTTAGGCTAGAATTTCGTCTCCTTTTTAGAAGACTGACTTGTAATTCAGCTGTCTCTAGAAGTTTATCATATTTTAGTCTTATTTTCACATAGTCATAAACTTGATCTTTAAGGAAGGGTGAATATTAGACATCAAAGAGTAAGGCACTTCTCAAGAGAGCCCCTTGTTCCTGTTTCTACCAGCGACAGTTCTTTCTTTTCTGCTTAGAGTTGGATCCCATCAAAGGCTGTAAAGCAACGGGTTTTTAACATCAACTGATTATATAAAAGATAGAATGAAAATCCGATTTTGCAAATCATTCTGCTAAATTAATGAGGTGAGAGTGTTGTGAAATGATTCAGTGTTTATAATTAGGAACATCTTTCTCTTTCCTCCCACCTGTTCTTTTTACCAGGTGCTTTCTTTGGCAGGGATTTAAGGCCAGGCAGTGATGCTACAGATGAAAAGCTGCAGCTTAGCGCTCTCAGGATGACTGTAATATCTGTGAGGTTGTGTCATGTGGAAGATTCAGCTGTCTCTAGTAACCCAGTTTCTATGGAGATCTGTTTTCTGCTTTCTCTTTTTTCTCTTCTACAGACAGTAGAAAATACACAGTTTCAGCTGAATAAATTAAAGGTGCCTGTTTCATCCTGGCATAGATCACATAATTAGAAACTGCCGTGTGACATTTGCTGCCTGAAGTTAACAAAATTTGTGTCTTACTGCTGGCTTTTTAACATCAGTAAACTTGGTACAGCCCAGAGGAAACCAGCCTGCCGGCCTTCTGGCTAGACAGCATTTAAAAGCTTTCCTCTTTCGTGTCACCTTTCCTTTGCTTTCTGTTAATTCCTGTGATGAGAGGGAAGCAGCATCCCATCACAAATACTGAGGATGGGGAACTGCTGCTTTAGCTGAGGAAAAACAAAAGTCATAAAAACTGGGCAAAGTATGGTACATACACTTTTTGTCTTCAGCTGTCTCTGCTACAGTAGCATCTTCTGTGTTAAACCCAGAAACTTGCCCAGCTTATGGCAGGCTTTTGATTCTCAATTTCAAAAAAGAAGAGTTCTGCAAATAGGTGCATTTGGGTAAGTTTGGATGTATGTGTATTTAGGGAATTTTGTGTATTAGGGAATCCTGTGTTCAAAAAAACAAGTGGAAAGGAGAGAAGAGGTTTTTAGAGGAAGCAATGAAAGTAAAGTTTCAGTTCTTTATTTCATTGTTTTTCTCCTTTCACTCAGTAGAGCGAATTGGCTTACCAAAGTGCCATACTTTACTGGTACCCTTAGCTTCTGATAACTTTATATTTTCATTTATTGTGGGTTTGGTTTTCTTTTGAAAGGTTCTCATACTCACTGCTTCCAGGTGGCAGCGGCAGGAGTCGTCTCTGCAGAGCGAGCGCAGGGCCCAGCCGCAGGCCTGCCTGTGCCTTTCGCTGCGCCCTGGCCCCTTGGCGGCTGCCCTCACAGCCAGCGATGGTGAGGTTGGTTGCAGGTCCTATCCAGCCCCCAGGGATGCTCAGATTTTGCTGGTTGCACGTTACCTAGTCACACGATGGGAATTCTTTTATTTTGCACTGGCACAATCTGGACAAGATCTCTGTGCCCGCTCTCCTTCAGGACCCCTCTAAAGTGAAGTGACTGAGTTACCTGGACACAGGAGGGAAAAGAAGAACTGCAAGCTTTTGTCAGAAAGCTACTTGGTTTTACTCATCTGGCAGAGGGGTTCTGTTTTCTCTGCCTGGAGGTTAAAGTGGACAGAGAAGTCCCAGCTGATGTTTCAGCACGCGCTTCATGAATTGAGGCTGCGAGCTACCCGCCAAGGCTGAGCAGGACCTGAGGAGCGCAGCTCCAGCCTCCCTGCGAGTCCTGTGTCTGCGCATACCCCCGGAAAGCCCCTGGGCCTGGGCCTGGCTTCGGGGTCTTACATCCATGCAGCAGGAGCTGCAGCCCAGCTGGGGCTCTCAGGAGGGTGCATTCCTCCTGCAGCACTGGCTTCCCAGCCGGAGAAGGGAAGCATCAGCTGCTGTTGCCCTGCCTCTGGTTCTCTGCCCTTTTTCTTTGGATTCATGCTCGAGAGTGTTTTGCAACCGGACTGCTCCTATAAAGCCAAGCAGCGTTGTTGTTTGCAAAGGTAATGGGTGTGGGGAGATCTCGGTGCTCTCCAAGCATTACAAGAGCATCTGCTGAGAAGCTTTCTTGTATTTGAAACGCCGTAGCCTTTTACTAGCGTTACGCAAGAACTCTTTTCATATGTACCTATTTGCATTTATGTGCAACTGTAGAAGTAATGATATGGTTTCCATACACTTTTAACTGGTTCTTGAAGATGAGATAACCATTGTAACTGGCTTCACTCATTTAAGAATATGAATAATCTCAGTTTTTGAAAACAAGGTGCATGTTTGTTCTGGGTTACATTCATGAATGAAGTTTAACTGCATCTGCCACAAAGCAGCTGAATTGTGTGGAGATGTGTAGCTGGTTTCCATTGCCTTAGCTCATGCTTGCCATGGGCCTGCTTTTGTTTTAAAATGGTAAATAATAGCCTCTTCGTGCTGTGGACAAATATCTAATGCGCAGAACCATTTGTACCATTTTCAGGACTTTATTTAAAAGTCTTTGGGAGGTTCTTCGTACTTTATCAAAAGTGAACTGGGAACTTCAGTTCACTTTCTTTCCATTCTAAACAGTTGATGTCAGAATTGGGGGTTTACCCTTGCTGGCGTTCCTGTGGGTTCAAGGAAGAGAAATGCTTTTAGTCTGTGTGTGTGCAGTTAGAGTGGAATGGGCAGCGGCTCAGTGGCTGTACCTAACTGTCTCTAGGGCACATTCAGTTCAGTTCACACCAAACCGACCCCCCCACGAGCCACCCTTCTTCCTGGTGACATTCCCATGACGTACCAGAGGCAGGCAGGGAATCGCACAAGGTTGGCACCTGTGTTACACTTGGAGAGCCTGACAGAGATCCAGTCCGTACCTTTGGCTCGGGTGAAAATGGTCATAACCGGAATTAGACTTTTTTCTTCTCTATTATTTTGGAGGCGTTTTCAACCAAATCCTTTCAGTTTTTTTCTTCCTGGCATTCTGGAGACAATCCATTTTAAACTTGCCCTCTTTGCAACTACAAGGGAAAGTTTTTAATACTCCATGTGAAGTAGCTTCACATGAATTAACTCAGATGTGGCAAAGTGTTCTCATAATAATAAATGTTGCTGCGTGATGTTATATTGTAAAGGCATTTAGAATCGGCTCAAAAGAGTTACTCTTAAGTGATTTTTTTAGTAGCCAGGTTTTTGACCTCTCTGAAAACACAGATGGTTTGGTTTGTAGATTTTCAGCATTTAATGTGCATCTTGGAACATTCTTGGTTCTGGGAAATGCCTTTTCCTTTCTGCGTAGGCAATAAAATTAAGCTTGTGTAGCCCTGTGTCAATAGAAAACTAATTCACCTCAGATGTGCTAATTAACTCATATCTTGCTTATAGGTTTGGCTGCTAAATGTATGCATTTAAAAACAGAAAAGGAAAAAAGGTGTTGGTATGTAATATATGTTGATGATGATTTAACTATGTTGCAGAAAGAAGTCACTAATCTTTTGCTGTTTTCTTTAATATTGCAGTATGCCAGGGTTTGGATCCCTGATCCAGAGGAGGTCTGGAAGTCAGCAGAACTTCTCAAAGATTATAAACCTGGAGATAAAGTTCTTCAGCTTCGACTTGAAGAGGGCAAGGTAGGTCTGTATGTTAAATCAGAAGCTGATTGTTCTTGCTCTTGACAAGAGATTGATGTATCTAACACAGGAAGCTATATTGTTAAACTACATCCGTATTTATATATGTGCAATTATTCTTGTCCACAGACTTTGGGGAGTAATTTATGTGTGACAGCTTATTTTTCTATAGTTCCTGTAAATTATAATTACATAATTCCATTTTGCCTGATTTTTAAAAATAAGTAAGATTAAAACAGTTGGTTTTATCCAGCTGCCTGTTACATTCAGTTACATCATTTTTTTCTACTTACGCCCTTAAAGCTCTAACTCTGGTTTGATATTCCAGCGGACTGCAAGGAGAACAGTGTTGCAGAGAAAAAAATGTGACTTTTAAGTTGAGCATAGTCACAGGAAGGTTAATAATGGTAGAATGGAGTGAGGATTAAGAGCATTGAAAAATAATGCTGTATACTGTGTACAGAAATGATAACATCTCTACGAAATGAGCACATCCTTGCAGTTAATGCCTGTTTATTTTTTCTTATGCTGTTTAAATGGTTATTTAATATTAATATATAATGAAAGCGATCCCTCAGGTCTTCTCATAGAAAATAAAGACCTACTGCAGTAGGTCACGCATTTGTTTTCAATTTCTTTTCTCTTACCAGTGAGCAACTTAGATCCTACTTTCAGGTAGAGGTCTACATAGCAATTAAGTAAAATGAGCAGATTATATGTATAGAGTAGCTTATAAATAAAATATTTTACTTGAATGAATTTTAATTCTTTGACTTGCTCACATCTCATATGGCAAACTGAGCAAACCTATTCAATCTGACAAAAGTAATTTTGCACCCCCCGTATTCCAGGCCATGCTTTGATGTTGCACATTTCACATTGCATGTAATAGAATGAGGGTGTTTGCTAGTTAAGATACATTATGTTGAGACAAGAAAATGTCAGGTAAATAAAGTGTTGTTGCCTCTACAGACAGATGCAATTAAAACTCTACATTAGAGATTAATTTATATCTGTATAAATTGTAGGTTGCATTTTTTTCAGGTTACGTTTTTCATAGTGCTCTGTCAACATTCTTGTGTCATATTAGTGTGTATGAAGCTGGCTATAGACTGATGGAAATTTATTACCTCTGTCCCACTCAAGAGTAAAATAATAATAAAAAATAATTAGATTAATGATATAATATTTCAGCTTATTTAATAAAAAGATATGGCAGAAAAAGCAAAGGATTTCTTTAAGTAATAGTTTGAGAAGATGATACACCTTTATTGTTACCTATTGAATACAGAAAACCCTTTTGGAAAAAAATTAATTACGTTTTTCGATAACAGCCTGCTAACTCAAATCATCAGATAATTTAAATCTTGTTTTGTGCTTTTATAACTTGTGAATGTTTTGCTGGGAGAAAATAGTTGGAGGTATTGAATGAGGAAACCTAAACACCAGTTCTTTCAACACGTTTCCGTTTGATTTTCAGGACCTAGAATATTGCCTTGATCCGAAGACCAAGGAACTCCCGCCCTTGCGAAACCCTGACATACTTGTTGGTGAAAATGACCTCACAGCACTCAGTTATCTCCATGAACCTGCTGTTTTACACAACCTCAAAGTTCGATTTATAGACTCTAAGCTCATTTATACCTATTGTGGCAAGTACTGTCTTTTTATACTATAATCTTCACACTGAATGCACTAGACAGGGAAAGTTGATTATTGATATATGTGCTTTTAACTTAATGGTAGGGCACGTTGGGCTATTCCTCTGAAAGTCCCTGTGTTTGTGGTCACTAAGTGCAGCAAGTCAGCTTGAAAGTATTAAGGCTCAGAGAAAATTGACTTCACTTTATGGCCCTCTAGCTTCCCAATGGACTCTGTTTATAAAATGTGTATTCAGCAATCTTAGCTTGCCCATTGTTCCCTAATCATTGTTCCCCTTAGGCATGCTTAGGTCGGCACTGGCTGGAGGGGAGCTTCACACGCTGCAGATGTAGGAGGTCAGCCTGGCTGTTTGATGGATTTATTGCTTCCTCCCTTTGATTGCCTCCATCTGTATTGAGCACCTGTTTCTATGTGCAGAAGATACCCGTTTATTTTCCTTTTCATGTTTTCCAGTCAGTGGAACTATGCAAGTGAATTTGTAACAGTGCACGAGCCAATGCTTCTCTGTTCAGAATCATGAACAATGTTGGTTTTCAAAATACCATTTAACTCACAGTAGAGGTTACCTGATGCTGTAATTACCTGTGATATTTTCAGGTAGCCAAAGTGGGGAGAAGTTACTTAATGATTATTTCATCATAGGTACAAAATTACAGCTGTGTTGTCTGTTTTAAGGACACTTTTTGAGGTATTTCAAGCTTAAGGTTTAGATTTCATGCTTCTGGGCTCATTTCTGTGTGCACATGTGTTTCTTTTAAATTGTAGTGTTTAGTCAGAACACATTTTGAACTTTTCATATAACCTTTCAATATATAAAATCTGTTATTTTATCGACCATTTCTTAATTTATCTTTATTTTGGATATTGTGCTAATGCTTAAGGAACAGTTTAAGTCATTAGATTTTTTTTTTTTTTTTACATTTAAGCTTAGTAAAACAAAACATAATATAATGATGTGATTACTGGAAACCAGATACTGAAAATTTCCTTCTTGTAATTGTCTGATTAAAACAAAGACACATTCTTCCAGTACATGTAGTCAAATTACCGTGTGTATATTCATCATAGCCCAGTTTATGCCAGCAGAAAACATGCCCCATGATTTCTTTTTAAATACACAGTTTGACTTTATTTCTAATCAGACTTTTGTAGGACAGTCCCCATTCTCACTATGGCGTGCCAGAGGATATTCAGCCTTCTTGATCATACATTAGACTTGCTATATATAACTCCATTGTACCTCGTGCCGCTTTGCAGACTGTAGAGCAGGCTGTGGAAGTAGTGTTGCAAGATGGCCCTCGGCAGATATCAGTGAATCCTGGCTGCAGGTGTCTGAAGAAAAAACTTGTATTTTGCAGCTGAAGGCCCTGTCCTGTCCTGGTCTTCAGGTGGAATGTGCCAAGTGTCAATTTTTCCCTGTTCTGGTCACTGGTACAGCTCCCCAGTGCTGATGGGTATGGAGGGATAAGGCAATCGTCATGTTCAGCTCCTCACAGTGTGCACAGTGCAGACATTAATGTCCCTCTGGCCATTCCTAATCTGTGGGCACTTAGCAGAGCACATCTGCTCCCAGTCCTGCTCTCAGCAGTGTCCAGACCACGGGGGCCTGAATCAGACTTCGCCTCCCTCTGCTTGCAACCAGCCTTCGTTCCCAAGGTGTGGGACCCACACCTTGTCCCTCACGTGGTCAGCCTGTGGCCAGAGGCACAGAATGACTGAGGTTGGACAGGACCTCTGGAAGTGAAGCTCCCTCCTTAAAGCAGGTCTGACGAGGTGGGGGTGCTCACGGCTTCGACCGAAGAGCGCTTGGGCACCTCCAGTGGTGGAGATACCACAGCTCCTCTGGGCAGCCCCTGCTAAGGGTGCGTGATTTAATCCCTGAACCTGGACAAAGCCCATGTTTCCGTCCCTAGTGCCCTTGAGTAAAGCTCCTGATGGGGGAGCGTTCAGTGAAAGGGCTTTTGTGTAACCGGAGTCCCATGGCCTGAGCTTGTAAATAGTTTCCAATTTATGCGTTTAGTGGTTCCATGCCTGCAAGTGCCATGCCCATACCATGAGACAGCCTGCCTGGTTTGTGTTGTGTTTGCTTCTAAATATGGATTGTGTTTAACATCATTGAAGAGTATTTCAAAAGAAGTGTGTTGTCAGCTGGTTTTGTTTTGCTGTTTGGGAAAACTTGTTGTTTTCATGTTTTTCCTAGTGCTACTTCAGTTGTGGGTTTGGCTGATTTCTTACAGTTTCTCCTATGGCTGGAAGGCCTTTAGCAGCTTGTGGGGTTTGGTGATGTGGGATTGCTAAGCTTGATCACCCTTCTTGCTTCCCAACGCAAAGTGACACCTCTGGGAAATGCATGCTGCGTGAATTAGAAACATGGGGACTGGGCACTGTGGCAGTTTCGGGTGGCTACAGTGCAGGTGACTGAGGCTGGACAGCTGACTGAACCGAAGAGTGTGCTCTGAATTTGTTATCTTGGGTGGTAGGCGTATGTATGTTACATCACAGGCTAAGTGAAATGAAGTTGGTGAGTTACCCCTAAAAGTCTGCTGCTTTGGTCACGGACACTCACCTTGCAAACCACTATCAGTTTCTGTCCTAAGTATGTGCTGCTTCCCCTCTGCAAAAGATTATTGCCTTAGAGCTTTGTCCGCGGAAGGAGCTGTATGTGCCTCCTTAATCTGATTCAGACGTTAGCCAGGTTAGTTTAAATACCCGCTGAAGATGGTTTGAGCTAACCCAGTTGATTTAGCCTGAAGGAGATTTAAAAATGCTTTAATCTACCAAGAGAATGATGGTAACATTGCTCTCAACCAGCAGAACTAGATCTGGGATGGATGAATTTCCACAGCCCTAGAAATTAATTCAACTATTCTTTCAGTAGTGTACTACGTCAAATGGTATTAAATTCTGGAAAATTTCACTTTGAGGTAACCCAGACTTTTAAATAGAAGAACTCCTGATTTCTTAACAGGGCAGCCTGTCACCAGAAATCCAGAGGTGATTTACAGTTTTGTTTTACTGTTGAGAACGTGAAATGAAGAGTTACTGGAGGAAATTGAAAGGAAAAATTGAATGTTTATATGGAAAAACTGCTATGACAATGATCAAAACTCCAGTGAAAACTGCTGATTAGTTCAGATGTAAAAAATACTGCCTTTTATAAAGGACAGCAACCTTTAAATTAATAAATTATTTGCAATAATATGCAGTTTACCCACAGGTGGGTGAATACATTCAAAATGAAAGAATCGGCTACCTTGAATTGGGGTATATGTAAGAAGAATGGCAAGAAGAGTAGCCAGAGTTCAATTTAATGTAACTGTAGGAATGAGAACACACACGATGTGGGAAGGGCCATGATATTTGTTATAAAAACAGCCATGTGATTTAGTAGAGATAGCAAGAAATTATATATAAATTATTCTGGATTATAGTCTTGTGAGATAGCCTGATTGGAAGTTCCATAGAAAGCACGTTTTTTCTGCCTCACTTGTTTTGGGTATTTCCAGGTGGCGGTGGCATGTTGATCTTACAAGCCACTCCTGAAATGAAGTGATTTTAATACACTGGAGACTTGTCACGGGGCTGCCCGTTTTGAATTCAAGGCTTTGTTTGTGCCAACGTAGCCAAAAGCAGGAGGGAATTGTCTGAAGTCTTGCACAGGTTTTTAAATGTCTCTTGGATTAGACTTGCAAGCCTGAGAGGCTTTAGGAGCCCGGCTTGCAGCCGGGCAGTGAGGTGGGGCAGGCCGGGGTGGTTAATGCTCGGCACTCGCTGCACGACAGCTCCCACTGGGACTCCCCCTGAGTGCTGCCGCGCTGTGTGCGCTTTGCTAACAAGCTGTACTGAGCAGAAGCGCTGAGAAACCTCATCGGGGTGCTACGAGTGTCAGAGCAAGTGCAAGGGGATTAGCAGAGACCTGGCTAATGAGCTGCACGAGGCCTATGTGCCCAGCTCCCACGGGAGGGCTGCTGCAGAAGAGCCCCTCCAGGTGTTCAGCGCTGAGCGGGGCCCTGAATCCCTCACACTGCGAAGCCATCACAGCGCCTTGGGCGCAGAGCAAATGAGTCGTCTCAGTCCTCGTCATTTTGCCTAGCAGTTGCACATTGTTGATGAAATTAGGAATCATGGCATGGCTCTCGTTCAGTGCCGAAACAGGCCTGAGAAATCCTGAGGAATCGTCCCCAGCAGTGCCGCTGAGGAGAGGAAAGGGAGGAAGCATTCCTGCGTATTGGCAAAGGGCCTGCAGGATCCAAGGGTGCTTCCTGGTGTTGTTCATAGCAGTGAATTTCCTGGCATTCTCTTGGCAGCATCGCCGGGGCCCTGGGACACCACCACCTCTTCCCTGCCCTGGCTGTGTCCAGCCACGCTCCCTTGTCCTCTGCAGCGCTTGGGAGAGCGTGCTGGGAGGCTGCTCTTGTACCAGGTGTCCTGGTGTCTACCTCTGCCTCCCCTGTGCTCAGCAGGGCACCGAAAGCTCTCACGTCCCAGACCGAGCTCCCGCTTGGCTTTGCCTTGCAACCCATCCTCCACCTCTGCGATGCCATCTTTGTGCTGCGAGCAGCTCAAGGAAATTATCATCAACCGGTGGTAGACCAGGCTGGGGCGGCCGGTCTGGTTGCTCTCCTGAGCTGCCAGCTCCTCTCCTGTGCTGGCCTGGATCCCTGGCACACGGGGACACAGCAGCTCCGTGCCCTGTGGACCCCTTTGGAGCGGTGCCGCAGTGAGGGCAGGGCAGGCAGGCGTGGGGAGCCGCTGGTTCGCCCACCCCAGCCTGGCCACCGCTGGCTGACTCCCAGGTGCCCCCCAGCTGCTGATTTTCAGGTCATCTGATGGACACCTCAAGGTCCTGAAAAAAACAAACGACTTTTCAATTGCTTTTTCCCAGTTTCAAAGTGCAGGTTTTCCTTGCACTGAGAATATTCCTCAAGTCTGCCAGTGCTGAGCTCCTTTATGCCTGCACCCCCCTTTAGTTCTGGGCTCGTCAATGCAGCGTTAACAACTTGGCGTGCTTTTTTACAGGGACTTTTACTGGAGTTCCTGAGTCACTTGGGTGAAGTCATGGCTGATGGAAAAACACTGACTCGGTTAGGTAGGCGTGCCTAGACATCTAACTAGCCAGATATTTGAGGACATAGATCAAGGTCTCTCAGATCTCTTCTTGAAAACTTATCTGTCATTGTCTAATGCTTTTGCTACAGTTTGTGCTTGATTTATAAATACACGACAGGATGTAAAAATGGGATGATGCTCACAGCAGCAGAGCCAGATCATAGGCTCTTTCACTTCCCTCCTCCCAGCTTTTGCATGGAAAATTTCTTAGATAGAAATCACAGCACTAATCTGCATAGAGCAGAGGGCTGGGATCTGCCCTGAGGAAGTGTGTGCGTGTGCATGTGAATCTCTGAGTAAATTTAGAAATGTGTTGAATGCTATGGAGATGCTTTCAGCGTGGGTACTTCAGGGGCGGGTTGTCCAAGGAGTGTTTATAGCATGCTTGCTACAGGCATTACACAGCCACACGTACCATGAAATACATATGTGAGGAGATCCTATTTTTAAAATGGCCACAGTTAAAATAAGAGTTTCTCTTTTTTCCTCTCCTCACCTCTTCAAGGTGAGAATTAATTACCATGTCAAGAGAGCATGTTTTGCCTTGAATGGCCAGGTCTCACAGGGCAGTGATCAGTGTTTTCACTTCTGCATGGAGCAAGTAAAAGTTTCCTACTGATTGTAAACTCTGTGGAAGCGAAGGGTATCGGTAGTCTTTGTTCAAAGCTTCCCTGTGGGCAGAGAAATCCTCTCGCAGGAAAGAAAATTGGACCAAAGCACTTTGTGGATAGGAAAGATGTGTGGCGTAAGACTGAGTTTTCCTTTGAAAGAGAATGGAATTGGAAGTAGTCTCTGTGGGGAGAGCAAAAGGATGGCATGAGATTAGAAATGGTGTAGTAATGAGGGGTATAAAAAAGACAGGTAAGTGCATAACTGTGATGGAAAAAATAGAAAATGGAAAGTATAAGTAGTTACCCGTTCAGACATATAACATGAGGACTTCATGGTACCTTCTAGAGGTATAATTACTTTATTTTCTAACTTGACTGTGTGCCCCTGTATATTGGCCCCGTGCTAATATGGCTGTGTGTTTTTTTGATCCCCTTCAGAAGGGTCGCTGTACAGACCTCCTCCAGGCAGGAGGTTGTTCTGCCAGATAGTAGAGAGAGACCTCCTGGCATCCAACTGACACCATCTCTACTTTGTTGCTTGTAACAAAAACTGAAGGTGTTAGTCCTGGGCATGGCATAACTCCTGAAGGGTTAATACCCTTTACGTAATTCAATTTCTGGTCATCAAGGCTGTATAGTAGCTATAGTTCACAAACACAGGTACAATAAAATACAGGGAAATACAATGCACATTGATCAATTTACTGTGCTGAGCAGACTATTCGGAGTGGGCACGCTGAATCTAGTTGTGTTGTTCATGCATGCTAGCTTTAGGGAAGGCAGGCAACAAGATGAAGTACAAAGCTGTTTCCAGTGTGTTCCCTGAAGCAGGGTAGAAGTAAACTTACTCTACTTCTTGTACACAAAACTAAGTTCAGACTAAATATCTCTTGAAGTCAATAATAAATCAAGTCCTTATTCTTGTGTAGTTAATATTTTTAGAAAAGGTAGAAAAATAGTTGGTGCTAAAGCCAATTTATTTTGTTTTGAAACAACTATTAATAACTCTTTTTGTTTCATTTCCCTTGTAGGTATTGTCTTAGTGGCTATAAATCCTTATGAACAACTGCCTATCTATGGCGAAGATATCATCAATGCGTACAGCGGCCAAAATATGGGGGATATGGATCCACACATCTTTGCAGTGGCAGAAGAGGCATATAAACAGATGGCCAGGTTTGTAGACAACATGAGTTTTGAATTCATAGTTTTTTTTGAAAGGAATAAAATTTAAAATTTCTGGCCAACAGACTTCTTTTCATTTATGGCTCATTAAGTAGTTTGCAAGATCTATTTTTAGTACATGGTTTTTAGTGTTTTAGTATATTTCATAAGAGATTAAGTTGCCCAAATTAGTGAACAGTAAAACATTATGAATGCCTTGGAGATCCTGGCTGCTGACAGGTAACAGGAATAACCACAGATCTCTTCAGAATTTAGGTCTAAAATTAGTCCAGTGCATGATAAGATTATATTATTTTAAATTGATTAGCAAACTGTGGAGATTCTTTTTAATCATTGGTGGCTTTTTAAAGGGAGACATGCCAGATTCTTAACTGTTTCATATTTATGTATGATACTGATAACAGAAAAAGAAAAATCACCGAGCTTATGAATGCTACATGCTATTATAGGCTCCTAGTCGTGTCAGTAGAGTCCCAGCTATGTAATCTGCTTTCGACTGTTATTGACTAGAATTAAGAGGGAGTGCAGGACTGGTTGCACAGAGAGTGCCCCAAAACAGTGTCTCTAAGGACACTGTAACAGCTGTGCAGGAAGTCCTTATTTCCTCAAAAATTGCATGAAAATGAACTTGCAGATTAAAGAAAGTCGTTGTTAGAAACTGTTCTTCTCCCTCACCCCAAGAGCCTGCCAATTTGAGAAGGTTTTTGAAATAGTTGCCATCATAAGAGTCTTTCAGGCTACTGTGTCGTCTTAGGTTAGCAAAATGGTCACTGCTATCCTCACTGTTCAGCTACAAGCTATTGGTATAGTTTTCCTTGTTGACAATACAACTCATGAGCAAATCAATCAAGTAAAAAAGTGAAAAAGCTTTGAATTAAATGCAGTGGCCCTCAAGCTCTACTGCAGAAGGGGGATGCAAGGCAAAGATGGGTTGAAAACGATAAAATGTTCATTTCCACAATTAGCTACCTGTTCTCTTAAAAATTCCTATGAGTGCTAGAATGAATAGCATGTTCCATACGTTGTGAAGTCAGTTGTGTATGTGAATACCATGATTAACTTGATACCCACATAATAGGTAGTTTGAAAAGAAAGTGGTACAGTACAGTGCAACATTTCATGCCTTAGGGTAATTGCAAAGTAGGCAATGTTTCAGGAATACTGTACACTTGCACTGTTTCTGTGCTAGAGGTACTCACTTTCCTTCTACTAAGAAAAAAAAGGCAACGGGTATAGGAGTACAAAGGCAAAACTGGTATGTCATGACAGTTACATCTGCATTGTGGCTCTTTCAATCTAGATACCGGTTTTTCTACAGGTTATTGTTAGTCAAGTCACTCTAAAACTCAATGAAGTAAAAATATGTTAGACCTTTTGTACATCTGAGGCACAGTACACACCTGCAATTATATGTCAGTGAGGGATGTAATCCAAATTCCCAGAGTTTTTCTTAGTGTTAACCAGCAGAGGTTAATAGAGTTGGTTGGAAGGTGATCTCTCTCCAATGGCTGCTTTTAACCACTGTCTAGAGTGGCTTACCTCTTACCTATGTGGAAACTTCAAATTCCTGGATTTCCTGTATTCTGTTCACTTGTTAGCTGAAGCCTGTACAGTGAAGATTTCTGTCTGCATTATCTTCTATTTCCTCCTCTGACGTCAGAGGTAGACTCAGAGGGCTGAGATTTTGGCGAGAGTTTCTCCTGTGGCTTTTCCTTTTTGAGTTAATTGCCTGCTCTTCAGTTCTAGATGCACCCTCCAGCAATTCTGCTATCCTGAATAATAACAAATAAGGTGTGGTAGAAATTTCTTTTTGAAACAAATGATGAGAAATTACATAAGCATGGAAATGATCTTAAATAATCCTCTAGCATCAATGAATTAATTCCTTTGTGTGCCTACAACATGTTATTGATGTTGTTGTTATTCTTTTATGAATAAATGACAGTACTTTCATAGGTGCAAAGTGAAATCTGAGCACACAATGAAAATTCATAACATTCCTCTACACTGAAGTAACTGTTTCATTGTTTATTTACTTTCCTAATGTTTATTTCCTTTTCTCTCTATTCCTCAACACTGAAGTAACAATTCCATTGCTTATTTATTTTCTTAATGCTTCTTTTCTCTCTATTTTTGTTTGATTGTTTATTTTTAAGAATTTCTACTGTCATTTAGACTTACGGGGTGTTTGCTAGTTAAATGAGGTTTTTGAATGCTGTTTCCAGTTCATTAGTTGCTTCCTACTCTTTAATATCAGTGATAATTTCTGCACTCTGAATAAATCACTTTTTACTCCTGAATTATGAAGTTAAAAGAAACAAAACGTGAATATTTACAGTTCTGCTGTTTGTCATCTAAAAAAGAAAATCCAATTGTATATGACTTTCATTAATGATTTAATAATTGCATCAACTGTTCATATGGTAGCTATATTGATGGCAGCAATCTGCATTTATGCATATATATGTGCAGAGATTTATTTTTCTGCTGCTTCTAATCTGTCCTAACTCCATGTTTAAATGATGATGGGAATAATTAGTCATGATGCTCCTATCCATAATGCTTCAACACATAAATATTTAGTCCTTAAGTCTTCTTGTTATCTATAATTCAACGATTTAAAATTTGTTCTTGCCAGCTTATTGCTTCCTTTACTGTGACCTCGAAACTCTTCTCTTGTTTGGTTGTAACTGTTCTGCAGTCTTCTTTAGCCAAACAAAATGACCCATGACAGCTAGTCATAGTAAACTAAGTATTTACGTTGTGTCTTCAGTACATACAATACAAAAATATGGAAGATTAGTAAAAAGCAACATGGCTCTTCTTTACCCACACATGATCATCAAATAACTGATTTTTGTTACCGCAGCCCAGTAAAACATGCACAACTTTTTAGGACTACATTCAGTTTGGATTTATATTTCTTTGCTTTTTTCCAACAGAGCAAAGTGTCTGGGCAGTTAGTCTGCGGTGTGGTGGGGCAGCACCAGGGGTTATCAATAGGTTATCAAAGGTTTTATCAATACCTTCTCGGTCTGTTTTGTTCCATTGCTATTGTAGTTAGTGACAGAAAGAGCAGAGGTCAGTGCTTTTCAATTTAATAAATGAAATTAGTCTTTGTTTTCTGATTAATTAGTAAAGTTGTTAAGCGAAGTACAAGTTGAGTGACATCTGCAAACAGAATTACATACTGGTGAGATCCCTATAAAACTCGATGAGTGCTAGGATGGAAAGCAATACTGTTTTAAGAGTCAGTCTCTGAAGGTTTGTTTTTTTCTATTTGGACAAAGCATAATGATTTATTCAATGTTAGCATGTATCTTTTTCATTAAATTATCTTTAATAAGTAGGCTGCCTATCCATTTTGTCAGTTTTATGGCATGTGTCTGATGGCTCTGAGCTACATGAAGATTTGTTTATATTACTTTTTGTTAAAAAGGAAGCCTGGTGAGCTGGTGAGTAGGTGTTTTAAAAGCACCTTGACTGACAATCTCCAGTTATCCCAGCCACCCCAAGCTGATGTCCTGTTATAAAAATGCACTTTTGGTTAGGTGCTGCTTTGTTTCCCATTGTCTCACAAATGGATCCTGTGTTCACACCCACCAGAAAGTGGGAGAGGGATGGTGAACAACGCGTCACAGGTCTGCATGCAGTTACAAAACGAGAGCCTGCCATGGTAGGTAGGCACTGTGCAGGCGTACAGCAGCCTGCTTTGACGTATGACTGTGACATAAAACTTCTCAGATGAAACACTTACCTTGAACAGAGATGATTATTTTGGGGCTTTGCTGTTAAAATTAGAATGAAAAGGGAAATTGTCATTTCTGGGGCAAACGGATGATTTGGATTAAGGAAGTAACCCTTATACTTTGGGTCTGACATTTTGTGATAATACCGAGTATAAGACAGCAGGTAGACTATTCAAGCTGATATAACATCAAGGATCTACTTGTTTGAGCAGTGATTAATTTTAGGCAGCAGAAGGGTTAAGCGTGGTTGTAGCTGGAAGCTGGAGTTCATGTGAGGTGTCCTGCTGGTAGCTAAGCAATGAGCTTTAGTAAACTACTGCTAGAGTGACCTCTGACTAATCCCCAGATAAATCACTTCCATAGTGCTGGCTCATCTTTGTGCTCCTCTGGTGTGCAATCTGTCATGATTTTGCAGCATGTGCTGACCTCAGTTTTCTTCATTTGTATGTGTCGAGAGATGTTACCATCAATTCATTATCTTTTCACCTTTTTGCGTTTGTACAGTCCAGAGCTGTTTTTCCTGGATACTGTTGAAATGGCAAGTGGTGCAATTTGTTCACTGAAAAAGGTATATGTGCTGTTTTTGAGAGTGTTGCAAAATGTTCATACCAAGCTGTTGTTGAACAGGACCACAGGATGTTTCAGAACTTGTGGAGTTTTGTAGTAGCTGAGTTTGCAGCTGAATCAGCTTATATATAATGGTAATAGCTCACCTTTGTGTGGCACTTCCATGAGCAGATCTCGAAGTCCTTTACAGAGGAGATCGCTACCATTTTTTCCATTTGTTGAAACAGACATAGAGAGTTGGAAATATGCTAATCCAGTGTCTGATGGCTTGATCCCACCAGCTTCACAATAAAATGCAAGTGATTGATAGTGCTGCACTTGAATGGTTTTCATAGCAACATTCTCCTGTAGCTTATTTGTTTTCAACATACAAAAATTAACATGCTAGGTTTTTCATGCCTTCGTTTCCTGCAGACTTAAGGTATCTCTGTGCCAGGCAACAGATACTGTTTCCTTTTAGAAAAGACTTCCTGTTTTCCAGGCACTCTACATTCACTAGTCTGTGTCTAATGCTAATATATCATTTTCCACTTGCATAGAAAAAAAACGCTAAGGTGGAGATGGTATGCTGTGGCCATGCCTCTTGTCACACCAGAGCTGGATCCCAACACGGAGCTTCTAGCCTCCAGTTCCTGTGCTCAGAACATCCTCTTTTGTCCAGCAGCTGAACAGGAT